TAATATGATTGTGAATTGTTAGGTAAGTGCTTTGAAGTAGCTGGGAAACTAAATGGAAACTGTAGTGAACACAGAGACCCAACAAAAATCACGCCACTCCTTACTTGCCTGTAGTTGAATGTTCTGAACTTTATTCTAAGTTGTTGTTGACCAGCAAACGACCTAGAGACTGTCGCTCCCCCACATCCCTTATAGGATAACTAATGATTGTGAATTGTTAGGTAAGTGCTTTGAAGTAGCTGGGAAACTAAATGGAAACTGTAGTGAACACAGAGACCCAACAAAAATCACGCCACTCCTTACTTGCCTGTAGTTGAATGTTCTGAACTTTATAATCTAAGTTGTAAATGGAACAATGGATAATCGATCTGCTGATCATTAGTACGTGACGGTCAAGTATATGCTTGATGACCACTAGCTCAGATCAACTGATTCTTTGCCTTTGTCCCCTTCCTGTAAATTTTGAGTGTAAACCCTCCCCCCATAGCCCTATATAAAATGGCCTGTTTCTGAGCTAGCCGCCTCTCTGAGCTACTTGGCTTGGGGAGCGCTGTCTGACCAGACTAATAAAGGTCTATTTGCCAACTTGCCTGGTGGGTTCCTTCCTGGGTGACTCTCACTGTCCGACAAGCTCCTGGAGCCTCGCTGAGCTTCTGAGCCCAGCATCGTGAAATCCTCTTGGCTGTTCACGCTCCAGGAGTAAAAGTGAGACTTAAGTCTTACATTCCTACTTACTCACACCCTGCGGCCACAACCCACAGGGACACCCCAGATCTCAGAAACTAGCTTTGAAAAGAACACAAACAGCACGAGCATGGCACTGCCCACCCGCCTGAGATGTAGGAAAGTTGTCAACCTGCAGCTCCGGCCACCAGGCAAGGGGATGTCGCCAAGGTGGGCCAGCGCGTGGGTCTGCAGTACTCTCCAGTCCTCTCTGGGAATGTGGTTCTACTGCCTCTACGCTAAAATGTGATTAGCAGGGCCTGAGTTGCTAAGCCTCTTGGGCGCCTACAGAATCAGAAGCAACACTGGTTCTCTAAGCTTCAGAAAAGTAGGGTCACCGAACCCTGAAACTGAACTTACCGATGTGCTGTACTGAGTGGCTGGGGGCTGAGGCCCAGGACTGGAACACAAATGACATAAACCTTAAGTTAGAGTGTGGCCCTAACAAGCACGTAAGGAAAGCCAACACTGATCGGACGTCACACATCCCCTCTGGGGCCTGGCACACTGCTTCTGGTGACAGGGACATGTCTCGGCTCTCACCCACACTGGTCCCCGCGGGTGCAGGTGCCAAGGGTCTGGGGGACGCACGAAGCACCCACGGCGCCCTGAGACAGCCAGGTTACCACCAGAAACCGGCTCAGGCTGAGATATAGCTGTTCCGGGGGCACGAAACATGCATCTGTCTTCACCTTGACACTAAGTTTCCTCCAAGTTGGCATCAGACACCTGATGGAGTCAACAAAACAAGCCTGCCCCTTTCAGATAAAATCCTCTAGTACCTGCATTTCTTGGTAATGCAGTAGTTATAAGTAGTGAAACTCGCACCTCCAAGCCACCAAAGCCCAGACCTGAGAAGTCACTGCTACGTCACCCCACACCTACTCCTCTCAGTCCCTGGGAGCTTTCACACCCAACACTAACTTCAAGGACTTTCCCTGCTGGCCACAGCTTTGCTCGGAGCCGGCCCCTTGCACACATGGGTGTTCCTAAGTGCACACCGTATAGCAGCAAGTGCTCAGCACACAGGTGCGGACATGAGGGAGGTCCACGACATGGGTTGGACGCTGCGACTCTGGAGCAACTTTATTTCTGCAGGCAGGAAGAGAGCGGACAGAGGCTGAGGCGCTCAGTGCCGAGGGGACTCCCTTCCGGACGAGGGCTGGGGCAGCCTGAACCTCGAGAGGTCCAGGTTCAGGTCCAGGAAGGTGTAGGCGTTGTAGTCGTGGTGCTGCAGGTTCCTGTAGGTGGTGTTGTCGAATGGCTCGGCGGCTGCATGGGCCGGGGCGGACTCTGCGGAAGGGACAGCGACAGAGAGGTTGTTCAGAGGCCACATGGGCCGGCCCCTCCCCAGCAGTCCCCACACCCTGCCTGTGACCGCCAGCCTGCCTAGCTAGGGAGGGAAGCCCATGGAGGCCGCTACAGATGCAAGGGCAAAACAAAGGCATTAAGTGAAACTCTGCTCTGAACTTACAGCGCTGGCAATGAGGAAGCTACTACGCGGCCAGTGCCTGGGGACAAAGCAGTCGCGGGGCTCTGTGGAACGCTCCCGGGCCCTCACCCTGTCCCCGGTGAGCCCCCGGCTCCGACTGGAGCCGGACAAGTCGGCTCTGCTGATCTGGCAGTGCAAGGCGGACACCCTCACGGCTCACTCTGCAGCTCTAGGTCCCGAATGTCTTGCAAGTTCAAAAACACCTGGAACTACCACAGAAGGCCCTTCCAGCTGCAGCAAGGTGAACGGGGACATGACCTCTATTAGACGTGTGTCCACAGGAGAGATGAGCATTTTCTAAAGCAGAAACCAAGCAAGCCCCTAGGCCTCCAGCACAGGAAAAGTAGGGAAGTTGTCACTGCGGTAACCACAGCAACACAATGAAGGGGACTAGAACAGATGTAGTTTTTAACTTTTTTGGGGGAAAAATTGTTGTTAGACGAAAATACTAATTTAGTTTCTCGGGCCAGGGATTTAGCTCAGTGGTTCCGCTGCCTGCCTCACAAGCGCAAGGTCCCAAGTTTGATCCCCGGTACCAAAAACAAAACAAATAAAAAATATTAGTGTCTTTCAGTGGAAAAAATTAAAACCCATATAACCAAGCACTTGGCAGTCGTAAAACAAAAGCACAGGTCGAAGCCAAAGGAACACTGTGGTGGGACGGGACAGGCGGAAAGGAGAGCATGTAGGGGTGCAGGCTGGGCAGTCCCCACCGACCTGGTCCCCAAGGCTGTCCCAACTTCTACTCACGCCTCACAGAAATAACCCAGTGCCTTCTCCACCCAGCTGTCCCTTCCTGTCCGTCACGTTACACAGAAACACCTTATGGAGCCGGAAGAAGTCCCGCCAGCCCTAACGAACTGAAGACCTCTGTGTGGCACAGGGGCACCTTCAGAGCGGGCTGTGCTCCTGCAGTCGGCACAGGGAAGGAGAAAAAAAGGCAGCCGGAAGCCACACAGGTCTGGCATGCCTGTCCACTTGAGCAAAGGATGGAATATGACAGCATGGCGAAGGGCAGGTCCAGAGGAGTCCAGCAACTTTGCTTATTAATGAATGAGGGAGCAAAGGGCAAGAGAAGAAAGCACAATGCATCAGGTAACACAAATTAGACTAAAGGAAGGCTTCAGAAGGAACAAAGAAGCCAGGAGTAGTGGTGCACTCCGTATCCCAGCACTTGGGAGGCTGAGGCAGGAGGATCTTGAGTTAGAGCCAGCCTGGGATACACAACAAGGCCTTCTAAAAACAACAAACAAGGAACGAAGAGCAGGCACAGGGAGGAGGCAGCTTTGTTAGTGATGAAAGAAGTACGGAGCCACAAATTCTAAAATTAAAGACCTCCCATTAACGACCCATCTAGAGCACCTGAGAACATGTAGCAGGACAAGAATTTGGTTCCTTTAAAAGGCCCTTCAGGAAAAATAAAAAAACACAGCTACCCACTGTTTTCCAGGTAAATCAGGAAGGAAACGTTGGCTGCCTCTGCAAGACACTCACTGCTTGAGTCCCTACCTTGGGGACTTTCGCCAACAAGGTTGCTAAGTGCGGTCACCCAAAGGTGCCCTCTAGTCAGGGCCTCCCCTCCTGAATGCACTGGGCAGCCACGAAGGTGCAGTGGTGATGTGAAACTGCCAGTTTCCAAAAATTACACTAAACCGGGTGCAATGGCACACGCCTGTGATCCCAGAGCTCAGGGACCTGAGGGCAACCTGGGCTACAGTGAGCTCAAAACCAGCCTGAACTACATAGCAAGAGCCATCTCAAAAAAACAAAACAAACTGGTTAAGAGTGGCCAAGTGGGCCAAGGGCATATGCTCTCAACCCAAAATGAATCGAGACTTTAGGGTCCTGCGCCTACAGACGTGTCCACCATTACCTAGGCACTCTTGTTTAGCTGGGACAGCCCTAAAGTGCGTTCTGGTCCACAGGGGGTTAGGTCACGCTTCTAAGCACACAGAAAACTCAAAGGTCCTTAGAGCCTAGCTGCCACAGGACAGGAGAAGTGGAACCAAAGCAAGAAGTACCCTGTGTGTCGCCTGGGGCCTCCAGGGGCGGGGCTGGTCCCTCCTCTGGCTTCAGGCCTGTGGTCTGAGCCACTTCCTCCTGAACAGCAACTGGCTTCGAACTTCTCACACTTCCCTGATCTTCCAAGATCCCCTTGGCCTCTGAGTGTCCTCCTCCGGCTGGCTTCCCAGTCTTTTCTTCTTGGACCCAGGGTAAAGCCAGCTTTCCATCAGGCTCTGGTACCTGGGCCCCAGGGCAGGAAGCCTCCTGGGTGTTCGGTGTGGGCACCAGGCGGCCTCTTAGCTGTGTGGAAATCCTGGCCTCTGTGCGGTCAGGGGAGATTCCTCCCACTCCTAGGGGCTTCTGGCTTCCTTTCTCCATCTCCTTCGGTCTGTGAGTTTTCTGCCATCGCTCAACCTTTGCCTTCTGCTTCAAAGCCTCGCCCTCGGCTTGGGATCTGGGTGTCATGAATTCTGGTACGGCCTCTTCTCTGCTCTCTAAAGGCATGGGGGGGTTCCTTTTCTTCTTTGGCTGAGAGGCCCTCTCTGGGTAGGTGACATCTGTGTGTGGCTTCTGCACCCTGCTCTGCTCTTTGGCGGACACTGTGACTCCGGGGGCTCTGTTCTCAGAGGGCCGGGTGTCCTCTGGGGTTAGAGACCCTCCCTGGCCTCTGCTCCCTACTCGGGGTCTAGCCTTCGGGACATCCCACTCCTCGTCAGACTCTGAGTCCGAAGACGGGGAGCTGGATGAGGATGAGGATGAGGATGAATCATCTGTCTCCTTCCGGGCACCCCCATGAGCCTCTGCACCCAGACCCTGCACTCCGAGTGGAGATGGAACCTTTTGAGGAAATGCTACCAAAGTCTTTCTCGCCAAAGCTTTCAGGAGCCCTTCCTCCGTGGGCAACTTGCTGCCCCTGCCACCAGGGTGAGTGCCAGCCACTGCCCTGCCTCTGTTCCCAGCTGCCGGGGAGGAAGCACTTGGAGACAAGCCGGGGGGCACCGGGGCTGCTGGGTGGGTGGTTAGTAGCTTGCCCTTCTCCTTTGGTTTCTCTACATCTGGGAAACGGCATAAAGAGGAATGTTATTTACAATACTTCGTAAAACAACTTCAAATCAACAGACAAGTCACAGACACTGCACTGAATACCAATTCATTATTTAGAATGTCTTCCAAGTAAACAACCTGAGAAGGTGCTGAGGGAACTTCTCCCGGCGAATGCCAAGCCCCAGTGAGGCGGTGGTGAGAAGTGCAGATACTTGTCTTTGTTGCTGAAAATTTTAAAGACTGAATTTTTTTTTTAACCAATAGGAGCCCACTACTTAGGAGACTGAGACAGGAGGTTCACTTCAAGTTCAAGGCCAGCTCAAGCTACAGTGAGTTCAATGCCTACACAGCAAGACCCTGCCTAAAAAAACAAAACAAAATAGGAGTAAAAAACTTGCCTTTGTTTTTCACAATAATGGTTTCCCTGATAATAAATTTTTAAAACTATTTCACCTATTTCAAGATAAACTATAACAGGTATTTTCTGGTGCCTACTAAAGTTTTATAGTTGTATCATTTACTGAATTGCTGGTGTTTCTCAAGTATGAAAAGTCTCACTCCTTGCCTGCTAGACTCCCAACAGCCTGCGTGGAGTCTGGGCTGTGTATAGGTGTGTGTGCAAGAGCAGCAGAGGGCAATGTAGCTCCAGCAAAGGAAGAAAAACCTTTCAAAATCTCAGCTAAGGCCAAGGATTTAGCTCAGTGGTGCCGCTGCCTACCATGCAAGCACAAGGTCCCGAGTTCAATCCCTGGTACTGGGAAAAAAAACAAACAAACAAAAAAAACAAACAAAAATCTCACAGTTCACTTGATTTCTTCAGCCAATTAAAAAAAGTACTGCAATATAAAAAAGGTCCAAAATAACTTAGTATCATATGTATCACTGGGAACAGATTTTAAACTGCAAACAAAGAAAAATGCTAATGTCTTTTTTTGAGACAGAGTCTCACTATGCAGTCTAGGCTGGCCTCAAACTCACCTTGATTCTCCTGCCTCAGCCTCCTGAGTGCTGGGATCACAGGCATGTGCCACCATGCTTGGCTCACCTTAATATTCTACAGTCACTTATGAAAAAATGAAATCAAATAATATATTGATCAGAGCTCATTTCATTACATTTTCTCAGGTACTAATAAATCTTTTCTAACAATACTAGAAGAAAAATGTAAACGACAAAAAGATCCTAAAAACAGCCCCTAGAACTAGACATCTATTTTGTACCACAGAACATCTCCTTGCCTCAGGTACAAACTTGTCTTCCCGCCCCATCCTACAGCACCACGCAGAACCCTGTCTTCTGAGGTCAGGAACCTGTGACTGACAGCAGACAGGATGTGCTGAGTGCTGACAAGAGCGAGCAACAGAAGCTCATCAGAAGGGGCCCTCAGGGTGACAGGCAGTAACCAAGGAGCAGCAGCAGGTGACCATTGAAACCACTCTTCCGACAAGCAGGCCGCAGCTGAATCTCAGCTGCCCAGGGCAGGGGCTGGTGTGCACCCTTGGCTCCCAGGCATGATGAACAGGAACCCAGTGCGGGGTGGCGTTTGCTGGACTCTGTCCTCCCTGCTTCTGCACAGCAGCCGCGAGGCTTAGAGCTTCCTGACAGCCATATGTAAGACACACTGGCCTTCAGACCCTGCCCCGCCCATCACTGACACATCATTATGTTGGGCACGGATCTTCCAAACAGGAAATGTTAACTTAAGGCTATCTCACATGGGTTACAGTAAATAAAAAAATGATAGGGACCGAATCTTTCAAAATTGTTGAGCTTTAATTTTTTAATTATTACAAGTTTTTTCTGCAGTGCTAGGGATGGAACCCAAGGCCTCATGCATGCCAGGCAGGTGATCTAACACTGAGTTACATCCCCAGACACTGCAGATTTAAAAAGTGTAATAAGTTATTAAGATTGTGTGATTGTAATACCTCAGTGGTCGAGCATGTGTTTTGCTTGTGCTGGGCCCTGGGCTCAATCCTCAGCACTACATGGGTCCAGACACACACACCCAGACACACGCACACATGCACAAAACCTACATTATCAGTTGATTTATGACTTCCTGAAAGTGGAAAGAACATTTCAACTGTGACTGGCAATGATGTAAGTTCCAACTTTTATTTAGAAAGGAAACTTTTTATATGTGAAGCAAATAAGGCTTCAGTTTCCTTTGTTTATGCAAGGTGCGGAGGAACCCCAGGGAAGGGCTAACTGCTGAGAGCAAACCTGTTTTGGTCCCCACTGCCCCCTTTCGTGGCTCAGAAAGAAGCCTGCGGGGCTGATTTGCGGCTGCTGCCTCTCACAAGTAACAAACCCAGTGTCCACAACAAGTCTGCACTCAGCAATATAGCAACAGTGGCGTTCAGAGTAAGACCACATAGGGAAACCCGTCCTCCCTCTCAGCACAAGCATGTTCCCTAGCTGCTGGTTCTCATCAAACTCTACAGCCAAGACGAGGCAGTCTATGGCGGTGTTTCAGCCTGACACCTCTCTTCCTGACAAACAAGGCAACGGGAGCACCCAGGTGCCACAATCAGAGTGCTCACCATGCAGGCCACCTCACTGTGGCAACTTTCAGGAGGTTCCAGCCCTTGCCGGACACCACACAGCCTGTGGAAAACAAAGGTCTCCATGCCAGGATTTAGTTCAATGGTGCTGCTACCTGACTCGAAAGCACAAGGTCACGAGTTTGAGTCTGATACGGAAAAAGAAAAAGAAAGAAAGAAAGGTCTCCAGATACAACGTCTCCTTACTACTTCCATCTCCTCTCAAAGAAGAACTCACATTTTCTGATTCTCTTTCCAGAGTGGCTGAAAAGTGAGGACATGATCTTCAAGCTTTTTACAGGGCAAAAGCGACAGGGCCAGGGATTTAGCTCAGTGGTGCCTCCACCTGCCTTGCAGCCATAAGATCCTGCATTCGATCCCCAGCATCCACCCCCACCAAAGTGACTATGGTGATTGAAATGGACTAGCAGCCTTAAAACATAAGTGTGACACAAAGACTAAAGATACTGACATTTTACAAAGTGATTATACGGTGCTTGACTCATTTTTTTTTTAATGAATGCACAAGAACTGCAATTTTTCAGCAGCAAGACAGTATAGTGATTTAAATCTGGGCTGTAGCTGAAATGCCTGGGTTCAAAGCCAGACTCCCTGGTGTCACCTGAGATGCCCTGTGACTACACCACAGGGATAATAGCACAGGCCCATCTGCGGTAGCACAAGATAACAAAACACAGGAAGTGTTCAGAACAGCAGCCACTGTGGTGGCTTCCATGAAATACAGTCAATCTATCTCCAGAAATTCCTCACTTTTAAATCTGAAATGGGACTTGAACTGGAAAATTAACTTGGGCTTCTCAACATACTCGTTAAAGAGCTGTACAGAAACCCTCAGTCCACAGCCTAGCATTGGTGTGCAACACACAGGTTTTCACAGACAGGAAGTACTGAACAGCTGCAATGGTCAGCAATGAACAAGGAATAGAAAACACAATTATGCCCAGGAGAGAAGCATTTAAAATATTTGGTCCTATGTCTTGTTTTCATGCAATGAGTACATGGTGTTCTAACATTTGGGAGGGAAAAAAGTAAAAAACGAATGGTAAAAGTCAAAGTGATTGGTAAAGAGCTGGAAACAGATCAGACACCATGCATCAGCAAAATGAGTCACAGTGGAAACTGTCTGCTTTTAACTCTCTCCATCGTCCTAAAACAATGTCTGCAATCTTGGGCTGGTGGAGGAAAGCAGGGAGACCACACATGGAGCTCTCAGGAAGAAGAGGGCTGGCACTGGAGAGGTCCCAGGCCTCGCACTATGCGGGATCTGGCAGGGCCACACAAGAGCACACAGGGCCCTCTCTAGGATTGCTCACTCCATGTTGGTCTGGCATCGAGAAAGCACCAAAAGAACCAGTTGAGGGCTAAGGTAGAGTCAGACTGTGACAACTGCAATATGTTTAGTCTAAAATCTTCCCCTGATCTTATGTCTCACTGGGATCCTGCTCTATAAAGATGAACAACATAGGATGCAGCTGGCAAAACCCATTTTCACACTTGGGAGGTTAAACTCTTTACTTTGCATCCTAGGTCCCTTGTGACCACCACTGCAATCTTACTTTTTGGCGGACTTTGTTTCTTGGGATTTGACGGCAGATCCTTTCCATTCTTCCCTGACTGTGCAGAGAGAGACACGGTTGAAGCAAGTCCTCGGAGCACCAACCCTTCCAGGAGCACAGTCTGACAAGAAAGTTCGCAAATACAGGTATTAGAGTGATACCATTTGTAACAGCTACCGCTACATAAGGGTACCGTGTGTCACTGCCATCTGTGAATGCTCACTGGGGTACTGAAAGGGGCTATACAATTTTCATAACATACGCATATTATGGAAATTTTGCAAAACACAAAAGCTGCAAGAAGAAAAGGCCCAAGTTCAAGGACAGTTGCTATGAACGTGTGGGTTAATGAAAGATGTTCCGTGCATATTTTATAGCCTCTTGTCCAACTACAAAATAGTTTCTTTTAGTAACAGTAATATCCTGGCATTAAAGGTAATAAGTGAAAAACACACGCTATGTTAATTCACTCAGCTGATAGTTACCAGGGCCTATTCTTAGGTGATACACAGAACAAGGTGAAAACATTTTAAATACACATAAAGCTGAAAAAAAAAATCCTGGGAACTAGTTACCGAAGGAATAAAAAGTGACTGGCTGACAGTCGGTCCTTCTCTTGCCTGCACTTTCTTTTGCAGAAACTCCCCGCTCTGGGGGCTGGCGTGCAAGTGTGTGTGTGTGTGCGTGTGTGCGTCTGCGTGTTGTAGCTCACTGGTAGAGTGTACATGTGTGAGGCTCCGGGTTTAATCAACAGGAAAAAAAAAAAGTAAAAAGAAAAAGGAAAAGCCAAATGTTTTCTGGCTCTTTGCTTTCGTAACGAGAACCATTATTTAACACGCTAAACGACCGAGGTGGCTCAACGTGGAGAAAGCGCGCTCCTCTCGTCGGCCAGCGAGGCACGGCTTCTCCGCGGCCCCAGGTAAGCCCCAAAGCCTGCGGCTGAGACTGCAGCCGTCCTTCAGGAGGCTGCGGGCGCCGGCCGACCTGCGTCCCGG